GACAAAGCAACTAAAGTTGTCATTCCTCTGACATATTGCTAGCAAAAAAAAAAAAAAGAGGGGAAAAGAATTGACAAGTGACCCTTAAATCCCCTTGACCTTCACCTTTGTCAAAAATAGATGGCCAGGTTTTGCTAATTTTTTTCAATGGAAATGTCCACCCAGGCTTCTGTAGCATACAGGACTTTTTCCTGTTTGTTTCTGAGAGCTGTCTTTATCACAGTGGGCGACAGGAAGTCAGAGTAAAAAAAAAACAAAAACTTCCAAATATTCAGAAATACGTTTGAAGAAAATGCTACAAAAATAAATAAATAAGTAAATAATTAAAAATAGCTGGCAGTTAAAGTTACAGTGGAGCAAGGTGGTAGCTACAATTAGCTTATGTCTAGCTAAAGCTAGCCACAAACATTAGCCAGAAATGGCTAAAGAAGTTACCAGTGTTGTACGATTGGTGAAGAAAATCTATATATTCACATGTACTTATATGTATATATACACACACATATATATAAATGTTTCTATAGAGAGCTGTCTTTATCACAGTGGGCGACAGGAAGTCAGAGTAAAAAAAAAACAAAAACTTCCAAATATTCAGAAATACGTTTGAAGAAAATGCTACAAAAATAAATAAATAAGTAAATAATTAAAAATAGCTGGCAGTTAAAGTTACAGTGGAGCAAGGTGGTAGCTACAATTAGCTTATGTCTAGCTAAAGCTAGCCACAAACATTAGCCAGAAATGGCTAAAGAAGTTACCAGTGTTGTACGATTGGTGAAGAAAATCTATATATTCACATGTACTTATATGTATATATATACACACACATATATATAAATGTTTCTATATATATACATGTATATATTTATATGTATGTATATACAGTATGTATGTGTGTTTCTGTGTATGTGTATATACAGTATTTCTAAATATATGTGAAGAAAGGAAAGAACATAACAGAAATTTAGCATTTGAAGTTACTGGATTAAATATGGAGAAACATGCTTCTCAAAAAATATAATATTTTATTCTTTAAATTCTATCCATGAGTTTAAAAAAAAAAACAATCATGCCGACGTCATTGCGTTTCCCTGTTATATAAATCCGACTGGCGGTTCTGTCTCTGTCTCCGTCACCCTCCGTGTTTTCATCCCTGAAACGCTCTGATCATTTTGTCAACATCATCTTATTATAATCAGTGTAATTATTATCTTTGACTCTCCTCTACAGCTGCTTTCTGTCTCCTCTCCCCGCTTTTCTCTCCTCTCTCGTTTCCTCTCCTTCTTTTCCCGTTGAACTTTTGCTAATTTTTCAAAGTCAAGTGAAGCACAGTAACTTACGTCGACGCCACGGTTGAGAGCGTTGTGGAAATTCTTTCGATATGTCTGCGGGAAGTCAAAGAAACACGGCTGGAAAACAGTTATCATGTCATTCAGATATATTCTTTATTTACATTTGCTCTCTTTTAGTTTCATATTTATATTTACGTTCATCATTTTATTGACTCTGACTCTCTCTCTATTTTTACCCCCTTAAGCTGGTAAATAAAATTTAATATCGCCTGTACTTGGTCATTTTTGGACAATAGCCTCAATCGCTTGTTGACTTGACTCGGACTTTGCCTGTCTTGACTTGAGACTTGACTCGGACTTTGCCTGTCTTGACTTGAGACTTGACTCGGACTTTGCCTGTCTTGACTTGAGACTTGACTCGGACTTTGCCTGTCTTGACTTGAGACTTGACTCGGACTTTGCCTGTCTTGACTTG